CCATCCATCCATCCATCCATCCATCCATCCATCCATCCATCCATCCATCCATCCATCCATCCATCCATCCACAGCAGAGCTGCAAACAAAGTGAGGACACGGAAGCGGTCCTCACTTTACATCAAAGACCTCACTTTGATACTAACTATGGCACAAATAGTCCTCACTCTGTAGTCAAAACAAGTACACACACACGCTATAAACTCTCACCTCTGTAGAACTGTCTGTAACTCCTTCATAATAGGTCTGGTTAGAGGACTGATTTCTCCGTCGCCACCAAGTTTAACAGCATTCTCACCAAATCTCTGAAACATAACACAATAAATAAATAAAAAAACATTTCAAATAGATGGTTTGATTTTGTTGGTTTATTTTGAACATGTTAAATATATACAGAGAATCATTTTAAGCAAAGAAGAGAGAAACAAATATTTAAAAATAACCTACAAGAAAAAAATAAATAATATTAAAAAGTGCACAAGTATCTCTACACAGTTTTGTATAGCTCATGTGTAAAATGAGTAGGAGGAAGTACAAACTTTAATCCCACCCCTTCACCATTAATTATCATCTTTTAATAATCTTATTCCTTAACAATACAACCTAATAAATAATAAAATAATAAATATGTTTACAATATTCAAATATATTTTAAGTAAAAGGCTATAGTGGTATTTCTACATATCTTTAGAATCCATGACAATAATTTCCTTATACTTTCTTTTAAACAACTTTATATTTGAACATTGCTTTAAGTCCATACTTAAATTATTCCTCATTTTCACTCCACAAACACAAAAACTCTTCCTCCCAGTGCGCACAGTGACAACTTTGAATTGACAAATACCCCTTAAACTGTAACTTCCTTCCTGAAAAATAAATCTACCAAGAAATCAAAATGACTTTTCTTAATTAAAGTTGCAGTTTTTATGCTTTCCACACATCTCAGAATGTTGCACCTTTGCATCTGAACAGGTCAGTTTTAGACTCAAGTTGAAGTTTTACAGTCTTCTAGGTGTTTTTAAAAAGCAGGGATTCAGTGTTTTGTCATTTGACAGAGCCAGAGGTGAGGGGTTTGCTGCATCTTAGTGCAGCCGGGCTGAAGACCTTGAGGAACTAAAATATCCACCTCGGCCTGCTGGGATCCTGCTTTGGTGGATGTGTGATTTCCCGTGTGGGACGGCCAGATTTGAATCGGGTCTGTCACAGTACGCCAGCCCTCTGCTCCCTCTTGGTAGTTTCACCTTGACTTTCTATCTTTTTTTTTTCACGTTAAAGAAAAGAGGCTTTGGTGGATACAGTACCTGTTGTTCGGCCTTCCGGTCTTCCACCTCCTCTCTGAGACTTTCTGGGATAAAAACTCCAGCTGCTTCCTGGGACTTCTGACCCATTAAGCTCCACTCGAGACACCTCAGCTCCTTCTCCTTCAGGCGGATCAGAGCTCGCAGATCTGACATCTCCTCCTGAATGAAGACGGATCGGAAAATATTCTCATAAAGTGCAACAAACTCTCAGGGTGTAAAACTAACTTTTAAATGTTTGTCTTTGTTTTTATTCATCAAATGTAAAGATCTGTCTAGTGTTGGTGCTACTTTTGTTTGTTGGCCGTGGATTCACTTCTAGAGACTCAGCTCCTACCCTGACTGAGACAAGTTCGTAGAAAAGGGAAGCTTTCTCCCTCTTGTTTTCAGGAGGTTTGCTGTTGTCTTTTGGAACATGGGTCCATCTTGTCCCAGCTGGTAGACCAGTCCCCAAGCAGGGTCTGCCCTCTGCTCCCAGATCAGATTTAGGCAGACAAATGGCCGCTCTGTCCTTCTTCAGGCGCTGGATTTGTTGCCGAAGAGCTACTTCCTGATCCGCTGCGTCGGGTGTCCTGTGGGTTTACAGGAAATTAAAAGTCTGGTCCATCTTTTAAAGATTCTTCCATAATTCCTGATCGTGTACTTGGAACGGTTACCCCTGACTTGTGTGACTTTGTGCTGCTTCTGTGACTCCTGTTGCGGAGAAGGAGGTGGACAACTCTTCAGTTCCCATTTTCCTGAGCCGAGCTGACGGACTGTCAGTCTGCTGCCTGCCACCGGCTGGCTCTGAAAGGGAGAAAATGCGTGACACAAACTGTGTCGCGTGTGAGAGTGTCAAGCAAGCTTAGACAGCAGTGAAACTCGGCGTTCAAACACCTGCTGGGTCTGTCTGCGGAGGAACATTTCGCTGCCTTTTGGCCTCGTAGAGTGACAGAAGCTCGCTGTAGGCCTCCTCACACTCCTCACTGTTGGACAAAAAGAGTAAAACACAGATGAGGTTGATTCTAACGGACTAATTATATCTCAAAGAAGTCTGATACATTGACAGAGGTGTGCGGACTCAGGTGTGGTTGATCACCTGTATCTGAGAGCCATCTGCAGAGCCGAGCAGTCCGACTCCAGTCGGTTCAGTTTCAGACTCATCTGCTCTGACTCTCCCTTCCTTCGCTCCAGAGCTGCAGTCAGACGTTCGTTTCTGGCCTTCAGCCTCTCCATGCATCTGAGATAACAGGAGAAAATATATTTTAAAGAGGCATATCTTACTTTTAAATCCTCCTTTTTCAGATTTAAATCGTTAATTTGGGGTCTATATAAGGTGGAACTTGGTCTGAATACCTCCTTATTGTAAGTCCACAAGCCCCTCGTTCACCACTTTTGAGGTGTGCCTCAGATCAACTCGTTTTGAGGCTGTCTCTTTAAATCCAAACCCCGCCTCCCACCAGCTCCCAGATCGGTCCACTCTAACTTGATAGAGGGGTTTACGACTATATAGCGGCGCAGAATTTTCTTATTTACAAATTAATTAAAAGATGCCAACAAGGGAAGACTAGTCCATCCAGCCTTACAGTACATGTTGGAGCCAGAGTCTGACCCAGAACTGGACTGAAGAATTGTAGTTGGTAAGTCCAGATTTTATTTGGCAGTTCTGACACAGATTATGTGACGTCATAGTTCAAAAAACATCATAGAAAAYAGAGAAAGCTGAATGGATTGAAAAATATGATCCAAACAGAATATAAAGTTATTTACACAGCACCTGGAGAGACTAAGCTCAGATTTTCTGCACTCCTGGAGACTCCAAGAACACAACTAAATGTAATTACAGGCTAAAAAGTGGATTTTGCATGATATTTCCACTTTAATTAAAAGATACAACTTCTCTGCCAGGAAGGCTTTGTCCAGGCTTTTGGTCAGAGTTTGGCTTTAACCATATCTTGTTCCACACTCCTCTGACCAAAGCGACCTCAATGGTTGAGCTGCCATTTTGTTTTGGTAGGACGGTTTTGGAGGTAGGTAGGGATGTGGACCATTTGGGAACGTTGGTTTGAGAGAGGAGTAAAAGAAGCCATTTTTGTGAAAAAAGACCGTCCATCATTAAACAGAGGTGGAGGCCTCCGTTTTCATCTGTCCTCCTCCTACAGTGCTGCTATTGCCAGTATCACTCCACCCCCTGGTAACAATAAGTGTTAATTAGGTGTCAACGATAGCCATGTGATGTGAGTATCAGGCAGGGCTTAAAAGCCTGAATTTTGCCTGAAACTCTCAGACTGAAGAAGTCTCTTGGAGAAGAGACGAAACGTTTCATTAGAGAAGAACCCGTCCAGAAGACCTATACAATTTTTTTTTCTTTTTGATTTGGGAATTAATTAAAAACTGTGACTTTGGTTATTCTCTGTTCTCATCTTCTTCAGATACTGATTGTCATCTGTCCTCCTCCTGCAGCTTCAGGCTGCTGTTTTCTTTCTGCTGACAAATCTGTCAGAACTCATCACTTTTGTTGCTGACGCTCAAGACCCTGTTGCTTCTCCACCACCAACACCTCCAACACTGCGGTGTCTCTTCAGCCAGAGGCAGTTCTTCTCTGTAGCGTTTCAGTTATTAAGCTGATTCTGCTGCTGCCATTGATCTCAGCTGTGGGGATTTTCAGGATCGCCCCTTTTTGTCTCAACTCATGTTATAGTTAAAGGCCTAACATTCGTTTCAGCAATGTGTATCACCTGCCGTCGTTCATGCCAGAGTTTTAGACGAAGATCATCTTATGTTGTAGCCGTTTTGGTCAAATCTTGATAAAAACTTTCAGAATTTATGTCAACGCGTCTTTGCGATGTAAATTTCTGGTCTTCTTGGACTCACCTGTTCAGTCTCTCTGTTTCAGACTCCAGGCTGATGGGACTGGGGCAAGGGCTGGATGAGGTCACGGAGCCCAGTGGAGACCCGTCCCCACCTAAAGACAGAGGTTTTACAGCTCGGGACGTCCTCCTGTAGGGCAAAGGTGAACCTGGATAGGAAGGAGAAGCCCAGTCCGGACTGCGAGCTCCAGAAGGAGGCCGGTAGGAAGGAGAGAAACTGCAAGACCTCCAGACCTTCTGGAGGCCCATCAGCTGAAAGCATAAAGGAAACTGTTTCATTTGAAACTAAAAACAGTGTTTGTTTTTTTTTTTTTTTACAAAAGCTCAAGTCTCCGGATTTGTCAAATAAAAATAAAACTTTTTCCACCTTGATCTTCTCTTCTTCCGATGGGGAGACTGAGCTTGGAGATCTCTGCCCTTCCTGCAGGTTGTTTCTGGAAGCAGCTTCGGATTTTTCTGCATCCAGCAAGTCCTCCAAGTCCGGGTCCTTTGGCGTGCCTAATGGACACGAGATCCCAAACTCGTTCTCCATCTCCTCCAGTATCTGTAACCAGTGAACAAATAGTAAAAGGGGTCAGCGAAGTCATTCAGGACACTGTATTTTCACAACAATGTCATTTCTCTCAGTTCAGTTTGTAGCTCTATAATGAAATATTTTGACATCATCTGTTAGATTTAAGTGATTTCCCTTCAGTTTACCACCTTAGTGGCTTTAGTCCAGTTTTCCTGAGCAGCTCTCAGGTGCTCTTTGTGTTTGTTCTGGTCCGAGGCCGTGATTGGAGCGGCCCACGTCCTCCTGAAGCTGATGGAGTCCTCCACTGATGACAGAACCTCCTCCAGTTTGCTCCAGGTGACGCCACCGCCTCCTAGAGGGTGGAAAGCAGAGGTGCGTTTAAATACATACTCAGTCCAGATGAAGACGCTTAAACCTCAGATGTGGTTCCACCTGGGTTGGCCAGTGGATGTTTAGAGGTGATGATGGTTTTCCTGTCCGGGCTGCTTCTGACCAGCCGGTGAGACAGGAGGTCTGGAACCAGAGGCCTGGATGGACTCGGTGCTCTCAGATCGCTCGGTTCGCTGGAAAAAGAAAGAGAAAACACAACACAGCTGAGTGCTGCAGCAAATCCACTCATTCGTAGTAAACTGGACTCACCTCGGAGCTTTCAGCGAGCCCATTTTCTTGTTGAGTTCAGAGATGATGTTGAGCAGGATGCCCACTTCAGCCTCGCACTGAGCCACCTCCGCTGGCGTGGGCTCCAAGCTGATCAGAGGGTCGGAGCCCTCGGGGTCAAAGGTTTTGTAGGGACTGGGGTTCAGCACCTCCTTTTTAAACACCGAGCTGGTGTCGAGGCTGTTACACCTGCTCCGTCTGGAGTCCTGCAGAGTCGCGGAGGTGGATCGTTAAGAAATAATCAGTGATTTTAGCAACATCCATCCATCCATCCATTTTCTGTACTCTCCCATTAATTCTATCAGGTCTGTCTGAGATTTGATTTACTCCACTTGTGTTCACGACACAAGAATCAGCCTTCAGTTTTTCTTTTTCTTTCAAGGAAATAAACTTTTCTAGTGATTTGGATCATTTGCTCTCCAGGCTCTTAAATTCAAAAGATTTTCATCTTTTGAACCAGTTTTATGTCTACACACAATTTAGCAAAATGGATCTTTAATCACTTTAATATTTTTAATTTCAGTGCAACACAAGTCATTTAATAATCCAAATTAAAATGTCTGCCATGAACCAGACATCAATCTGGTTAACAGCTATTGTTTTAAGCGACGGAAAAGGAGGAAACCCAAAACATCCTGAGATCCAACTTCCTGCCAGGCAAATATTTGTGGATCGTACCATCWATTGTTTTCCACAAAGTATTTTGGATAAATGCCTAAAAAAAAATTTAAGTTAAAACTTGTTTTTTTTATTTTGTTTTGATATACCATTTCAACCCATACACATTTTAATGGTTAAATTGTGCAGAGCAGAGCTGGCGACATGTTTTAAATTCCTTGTTTCTGACTTTGGAGAATTCCATCGCAGCAAGTCGTGATTGTTTGTTCAGGCTCATGGTCACATGTTCAATTTCTGAAAACTTAGGGCCTCACATTGACAAAATGTAACCTTGTGGAAATAACTAAATATTTTGTCTTTTCAACAAATGAAAACCCTGATTTACTCTGGTTAGACTGTGTTAAAAGTTTAATAGAAAGAACCTGTAGACATCAATGTGGGTCTATTTTTTAACAATAAAAGTTTCACTTAACCTCAAATCATTTTTAAAGCAACCTATTTTCAAAGTCACTCAGTAAAACGCCATTGTAACTTACCTCCATGCTTCTTCTTTCTGTTGGTAGCAGAGACTCGATCTGGGTCTCGAAACTTTGGGATTTGTTTCCTCCGTCCTGCTATTTTGTGTAGATATGTTTTCCAGTCATCAGTCAGTGAGCGGCTGCAGAAAGCTGCGCTCTGAGACTGCCTGACACTGTTTGTGTGATGAATGAAGTAAGTGGAAAACACTCAGAAACACACCTCCACCCATTCCTCTTTACTTTGTGTCCTTTCCTGTTTTGTCCACAGTTACTCTGAATTCACACCACGACCACCAGCATCAACTCTGAATATAAAGAAATTCAACAAACTCATTTTCTCTGATTGAATCTCTGCTTTTAAAGGCTGTGACTGTGGGAATTTTAGTCATTTTAACCAAGCTTGATCAAGGAGATCAGATTTGGCCAAACAAAGCAAACATTAGATTAATTGATGTTTTAATAAAGTAAAGCAAATATTCTCTTTAGTAAAAGAATAAAATGTACCTAAATTTGTTTAAACATTTTTTTACACTTTCATATACGTTTTGCATATACAGTCACTTTCTTGTATACAGAGACGAAAACATGTCAAATACATTAGCTGAATTATAGATTTTGGCATTTGTTTCCTATTTGTTTTGATATTCAATCATATGTAAACTGTGTTTAAAGTTTAAGGTTACGTGGAAAATGGTGCCTTTTTCGACGTTCAGATTAAAATAAAATAATAATATAGTTGTTAAACTAACCACTGGGTAGGAAAATATTTTTTTCTCATAATGATCACAATATTTTTAATATACTGCAGCAAAATAACCAAAAAGGAAGTTTATAACCCAAAGTATAGGAACAGAAAATAAAAACTTTATAACCCAGAATGCAAAGCGGCCCGGTGATATACCATTTCCGGTAAGGAATAACCACTGGGTAGGAAAATAATTTTTTCACATACTGATCACGATATTTTTAATATACTGCAGCAAAATAACCAAAAAGGAAGTTTATAACCCAAAGTATAAGAACAGAAAATAAAAACTTCATAACCCAGAATGCAAAGCGGCCCGGTGATATACCATTTCCGGTAAGGAAGTTGCCYTGCCTGTTCAAAACAAATGTTAGCTTGTCGTTAAAATATCTCGCAGCCTTCAATGAGACTTTATGCTGTGCGTATCCCAGAGGTGTTGTAATTAATAATCATGTAAGTATTATTTTTTATGCCAAAAGTAACACGTTTATATTTCACGTTTTAACTGAATTTGCGTACTTTGTTTCCTGAAAGCTGGCTAACGCTAACAGCTAATGCTAACTGTTTGTTAGCCCCTCAAGACAAGTGTCAGGGTTTTTACTTCCCCCAAGAAAGACGGCTGCATATTTTTTTATGATTTAAACTTGAGTTCACACTGTTACAAATTGAACTTTTATTAATATTATAACATTTTTTGTGTTTATTATCGATAAGAGAATGGGAACGTACGTCACGACGCATTTCATTTGCATGCTGGGTAGCGGCCGCCATGTTAGGACAACTGTTTACAAAACACAAAACCCGATGGACCGAGACAAACTGAAGAGCGATATTCTTTACCGCGACAAACTGAACAAAGATGCTAAACAGCGTTATTGCGAAAAAATCGGAGCTATTGGTCGATCTCGAGGCGGTACCACAGCTAACATTTCCTGACATTAGTTACGTTTGTGGAGTGAGTGCCTACACATGTGAGCAGTTCTGAAATTCTAAATCTCTGGAAGCACATCACCTGTTCACARACGGATGGGTGCAGGACCTGCAGATCTTTAGAGTCAACGACCACAAAACTGTTGTTCTCACGAAGGTAGGTGAAGCATAGAAACTGCAAAATGTCATTTCACTCTCGCAGGCAAAAACACAACAGTTATGTGTTCTTTCTGGCAGTTAGTTTCAAATATTAATATTATTATCTTCTTTTTGATTGTATGTTCTTGATGTTTCTCACTTAGACCACAATTTGAAGACATTTTCACTCACTGAATGTAAAGCTTGGACTAAACTACAGTGTTACTTCTAAAGACGAAAAGTCGTAGTGTTATTGTTATTAAAATTACTATGTTCATGATTATACAATATATTGATACTATTATTATACTATTAGTACTATAATAATTTATGATAGTACTATTATAAACTATAGATATAATATATACATATATTTCTATCATACAGTTTTTATATACAAACAAATTATTTTACGGATACTTTGTGTTTGCACTGGAGAAATAATTTTCCACTATTTCCTTGTCCTAGGTTTTGCACTCACACCATATAAATAAGCCACCACTCCGGCCATGGGTGATACTCAGTTCCACGGGGCAAGTGGACTGTGCACACTGCACACGCGTGGCTGGGATTGCTGAGTTGTGCACACATGTTGGGGCTCTCGTGTTCAAAATAGAGGCTGCTGTGCAGATACGGGGGACCAAAACAGTCACCAATGCCCCTGCATATTGGATGATGCCTGCAATAGTGAACAAGGTTCAGTCAGAGGTGGCTCACAAGATTGACTTCACCACTGATGCAGCAAAGAAGAAAGCCTTGGACCAGTGCATAAGAGGAGAAAAGAAAATCCTGGGCATACGTACACGAGTTGATGACAAAACCATGTGTGTGCATAAACCCACACTTTCAGACTTGTCTCCCCTACTGCAGGTTTTGCACAAACACAGCAAGGCCGTATGTCTGTCTGGAATGGAGGGCTACTGCCACCATTATACAGACCCTATGAAGCCCCCACAAACTGATGTGGCATGGTGCGTTGTAAACAATGTCTCTGGCCAGTGCACCAAAGGACTGAGGTGTGTAAACATTACACCGAGAGTACTTTGAAATGTGGTGGACAAAGTCTTTCTGTCAAGGCTGAAGAGGTGTGGAGCATCCTAAAAGGTGACAGTTTTCGTCCTGTTTGTGGTAGACAGGGAAGGGTCTGAGTCAGCACACCCATCACAACAGCCAAACAAGGCAGCCCAGTGTAGTACTTCACCATGACATCATCCTGTAAGAACTCTTCATTTCTTTTCGGGACAGCTCTTGCTTCAGGACTCTATTTTCCCCCATCACGCGGTTTATTTCAGCACCTCTGAGGACACAGAATACACATTCCTGTTGTTCTTCATTGTTGTCGTTTGCTGCAACTTCAACATTCTCGGAAATGTGTAGAAATTCCAGCACCTCGGACCCCTGGTCTGCTTCCTCGACTGCAGAACTCTGAGCAGCAACACGTTGCTTTCTCATCCATCTCTGATGTCTGGCTTGGTAGATCTGGCGGAGGGGCAGTTACGGTCTTCTCCACTGTGGCTGCTTTTTGTCTTCTTGTCCGACGGTCAAATCGATCWGTGTCTGTCGCTTTGACTTCTGTGTGCCCGAGATGTAAAGAAGGCGCCCGGTCAGGATGACAGTCAAAGAACTCGTAGGCCGGCTTGCCTGAAAATGAGAAAACATTCCTGAATTTATGTGTTTTTACAAATTTAGCAAGTTAGGTGAACATCCATTACTTACTGTGGTCAGCTACTAAGTTACTTAATGTTGTAAGTTTGCTAACTTTCAACATATGAACAATCGTGCAGTTTATATGTTCCATATGATTTAATTAAACCTTACCTGTGTGGAAATGCCGTGAACACACCAACATATGTCTGGGAATACTCTTGAAGGTGATGTTGGGTCCTGTTTTCCTTCACGTTGTTTCCAAGTGGGAAAGCTGAAAAAACGCACCCCGTTGGCAAAACGTTTTCCTCTCCGGTCGTGAGAACGGCTGTGGCAGCTAACAACACAGCAAGTATTCACCATTTGTATTACTTTACAGTGAATTCCAACAATAAAACAAACCGTACTGTCAACCCGTCTCTGATGCCTGGGAAATGGTAATTTCTAGAGGTGTGCGGATCGATACTAAATATAGATCATTTCGATACCAGCGCTGGTATTGATATTGAAGGAAAAGATCGATACTCAAGCTTTGTTCTTTCCCGCACGTGGATTTTTTGAAGTCTCTGTCTGTACTGCTGCACTAACAGTTCTCACCGAGCCCTCTACCTCAGGAGATATTGTTTTAAGTTGTGTTGAGTGATATTTTTTAGTCTGTTTATTTACATAAAACAGAATTGTATTGAAAGGAAGAAAGTTCCTTATTTTTTTGTTTTTCCTTAGAACAATTTTATTTAATAAAAGAAACAAAGAAATAACTAGGAAAGATGTCTAGTGGTAAGGGAATAATTTTTATTTTATTTTTATATAAAATATTTATTTTCCTAATGTTAAAGAAAACTGTTTTGTTACTGCTCTGTTGTTGGCAAGCAAAAATATTGATTGTTATAATAAAGTATTTTGTTGTCACGTACAATGTTTGACGAAATTCTATCCTAGATCTTTTGGATCTTTTCAAATTATTAAGTTTAAAAAGTATCGGTATCGATATTGGCGATACTGGCCCTGTATTTACTTGGTATCGGATCAATACCAAAATTCCCAGTATCGCCCACCTCTAATTTCCCTGTTCCCATTGGTAGAAACTGGAACGCCCCCTTCTGCCTCCAGTTTCGATTTCAAGATGGTGGCAACTCGCAGCTTTAGAAAGTTAACTCCGTAACTTTTATTATTAATTATCTGTCTTATTTTTTTGTGCGTTTAATCACTCGCACAAGTAGTGTGTTTTCTGTGCAATACTGTACGTGTTAAAATCAATGTTTATTTGCATGATGTATAGAGTACAGCTCTCGTTTTGTCATTGTTTACATTATAGCAGTGCGTTGTAGTTATGGTTAGCGGCAACAATCCCCTGTCGGCTAACTGGAATGCAGTTTCATGTGCAGTTTGTTGGGAAAAGACCACTACCATTTACCAGTTCCCAGAATATGATGGACCTAGCTGCAGCTTGCAGCTTTTTTTTGATAATTTTTTTCCCTCCAAAAAATCTTTATTTACAAGTTTTCATTACACAACAAAAAGGTACCTACCTACTCATTGCATTTAACAATTACATTCAAAAAGGCGTTTTATGACACGAGTAAACATAAAATAACAGTAGAAAAAAAGAACAAAATAAAAAACATACTAATAACAAGGGCCAGCATCAAGTATTGTGTTACCATTTGAACATGAAAAAGAGTTTATTTAAGGAAATTAAAACTTTCCAAAAAGGAAATACCATTTAAAGAAACGGTGTTTGTGTAAATAACGTTTAGCTAAAACAGTTGAAACATTGATACCATATTCTTTACTTCCGCAAACATTAAATATTCCAAATAAGATTTCCTTTGAGGTGAACGCTTGTTGAATATTTTTGGATTGGATCCAGATCTGAAAGTTAAACCAAAATTCTTGAATTATGGTGCCGTCATAAAAAAGATGTTCCAAGTTTTCACTCTCCGTCTCACAGAAGCTACATTTTCCAGTATCCGTTTTAAAATTTATTCTTAGAAATTCATTAGTGGGGTATCTTTATTTATGGTTTTAAACAGAATTTCTTTTGCTTCAGGTGGGATTGGAAATGACAAATATTTTATTCTAATCATTTTAATTTCTTCTTTATGAAATTCATTAAGGATATAAGCTACCTAGACCCTTCTCAAACGGAACGCAGCATAACTTCCGTGTCTTACACTCCCAGAATGCATTGCGCGATCCCTGTCCGCTGACGTCACGTTCCCATGAAGTTTCTGAAGATTTAAYGAACTTTCACAAATAAAATATTACAAAGGCTGACATTCTTCTACTTCAAACTGTTTTATCATGGGCGGTAGTCAAATAAATATGAATTTAAATTGAATACGTGTTATATTGTTCAGTCCAGATTTCAGTAATTCAAATGTTGTGTTATTGTTTGTTTTTTATGTAACTGGGGCCTGATCTGAGGTGGAAAATCATCGTGWTTGGCTATAAGCAAAAAAAAAAAAGATAAATATTTCTTAAGTATAAACTGTGTTTTAACTCTTGACTTATAATCTTTGTTTAATCAGCATCTCTTGTATCGATGGAGACACCAGAGCCAGGGCCAGCTGATGGAGAGGAGCGTCCAGTAGAGCTGCGACCTCGGACCCGCTCCAACCCCGAAGGTGCCGAGGACCGTCGAGGCAGCACAGGCAGCCTCGGAGGCAACAATAACCCAAACATTTCTCAGCCTGCCGTGGGCAGTCGTGTGGAGGGGGAGGGCGAGGCTTCAACCAGCGACAGCCCTCCGAGCTCCATCACCACCACGGTGTCGGTGACAGCGGCTCAGACTGTAGCTCCTGCTGTGGTTCCTGCTGCTGCTGCTGGTGCAGGAGCCGCAGCCAACACCACCGTACAGCTATCCTCCGCCGCTGCGTCGGCTAAAGAAAGACCAAAGCCCGCACAGCCCACGCTCACATCTGTTCCCACACCAGCAGAGTACCAGATCAGAGTTCCCCGTGTCAACTGCCCAGAAAAAGTGGTGCGGCCACCTTTTATATATAAAAAAAATAAACATTTCTAATAATTAACTATTGTGTTACTTAAAATACTTTGACCCACTTCTTTTTTGACAGATTATCTGCTTGGATCTGTCTGAAGAAATGTCCTTACCGAAGTTGGAGTCTTTTAACGGGTATGTAACCACATTATATTTCTTCCTTTTTCATAAAAATTGATTTTATTTGTAATTTTTTAAAATTTATCTGTCTTTAAATTTAGATCTAAAACAAATGCTCTTAACATATCCCAGAAGATGATTGAAATGTTTGTGAGAACAAAGCACAAGATTGACAAACGGCACGAGTTTGCTTTGGTGATCATCAACGATGATGCCTTGTGGGTCAGTACAAAAACATTTTATTTACCGATAAATTATATATTTGCCTTGTTTAGTCTAGGTTTGTAATATTAAAAATCAAAACAATTCCATGAATAAGTATGTTTGAAACCGTTTTATATTTAAACCTGATGCAAATTATTTCAGCTGTCAGGTTTCACATCTGATCCCAGGGAGCTGTGTAGCTGTCTGTATGACCTGGAAACTAATGTGTGCGAGTCGTTCAGTATCCTTTAAAAACAATTCAACTATCAGGCCTTTGTTTATTATCACTATTTAATCTCTTATGTGTTTCATTTCAACCTTAACCCTAACCCTAGACCTGGAAGATCTCCTTAATGTTATGTAAGTGTCTTTTGTTCATGAAACAAGTACCTGTTTCTCATTGTTGTCCTAAATAAAATACAATCAAGTAACATAGAGGTGAAATGTTTGTCTGTTTCTGCCTCTGTAGTCGTCAGAAGATCGAGCTGCCGTTGATGGAGAACGTTCAGACCATCCCTCCTCCGTTTGTGGTGCGCACTGTGCTCATCTACAGCCGCCATGCTGGACCTCTGCAGTTCAGCCCCTCTGAGGCTGTTAGTGTGAGTAAACGCTCAGCAGAACTGTAAAGTAACTAAGTACAAATACTTTGTTACTGTACTTAAGTAGAAGTTTTGGGTATCTGTTCTTTACATGAGTAATTATTTTTCAGCGTACTTTTTACTTCTATATTTTTGCACATTTATCTGTACTTTCTACTCCTTACATTTTTTTAAAAAGGCAAGAAGTAGAAAGTTGTTTCTTTATTTCATTTTTACTGGTTTTCATTCCAGCTTATTGTAAAAAAATAAAAACTATCCATATAAATTGTGCCTTCTTAGTAAAATTGAATTTATTTGTGGTTGAATGAGAAGTATAAATATACTGTATAAAATTCTGATACTGTATTAGTTTGTACACAAACAAATCATGTCACACTCCAGCAGGACTTAATCATTAAAATAAAAGGACTGTACTTAAGAAGTATTTGTATTTCATGAATTATATTATTGCATTTGACCCTCAGAAAGATTTACATTTTGGAGAAAAAGTTTGGGAACCCTTTATATACTTATATAAACTGAAACAGTTAGACTAGTGCATCCTAAATTTAACATAAATTAATTATTTTAATATGATATAATAATTTCTGCATTTTTWTTGGGAGGTCACCTCCTAATAAATGTCATTACAGAAAATCTAACTGCTCATTTTAAATGAATACTTTTACTTTAAAAAATATCAGATACTTTAAGACTTTTACTCAAGTGATGTTCCTAAAGGAGACTTGAACTTTTACCAAAGTAATTCTTTGGAAAGATGCTTGTACTTTTACTCAAGTATTACTTTATGGTACTTTATACAACACTGCCGCTCAGATACCAGTTAGTTTATACACACGCGCTTTTTATTAAACTCTAAATTTCCCCTTTAAAGTCTCTTTGCTCTCAGGAATGGTGTTTTTTATTTGTGTTTTACTACAGAAAATGCTGCAATCTCCTTATTTTTTCTTCGATGTGATTTATTTACACAACGGGTTGGAGGAGCAAGGAGATGAAACCAGCTGGAGGGTGAGTAGAGAAGATTTTTGATTGATTGAGGAGTGTCAGATGTAAAAACAGATGCACATCATTCCCTGTCGTTATGACCGTTTCTCTCGTTTAATGAACATTTACTCTTTTTTTTTCCTCAGGACAACTACTCTTCTTTCTGTAACTTGGACTCGAAGGGAATGTGTTACCGCTTCGAGGTCTCCCTGAGCGGACCCGCCATCGAGCTGCACAACTGCATGGCCAAACTGTTAGCTCATCCTTTACAGAGGCCTTTCCAGAGTCACGCCTCGTACAGCCTGCTGGAGGGGGACGACCCCGAGGACACAGTGGCAATGGTTTAAATGGTTTAAAAGGACACACGGACAAAGCCTTGTATTCTCTGCGACGTCCACACGCGCTGCGGTTTTACTGACAAAATACACATTTTTACTTTTCTGTTACTGATTTGAGAACTCTTTTGCTAAAAACAATCCTGGTTATCTTCAGCGATTTGATTGGGAATGTAAAAAAAAAAAAAATCCAGTTTTCTGCAAAATAACGATCTCTGCTGATACTGATGGAAAATTATAAACCAATCTGATGTTTGTTAGTTTCAACATAGGAAATCAAACAAATTATATCTTAATTGCTTCATTTTTCCTACAGACTTTTTGACAACTTTATTGTAATGTACTGTATCTCCAAGATAACTATGATTTTTATCTTTTATTTTCCAGTTCATCCTCCTGTTTTTGCCTGTTTTAATTCGTTTTCTGTTAATTTAGAGGTTGTTGTTTTTTAGTTCCAGGGTTTTGTTGATTGTTGTTTCATTGCACCTGGAACACATTGTACAGACAAAATGTTTAAAAATGTGTTTTGGGTATTAAAAGAACACGTTTATTCATATTTTTCATGTTCCTATTATTTGTGGATGTGTTGAATTATGTTGCACTTTGAAGGTTTGTCAGAAGATGGCAGCAAATCCTCAATAAATACAACTGAACCCAAAAGACAAACAGTAATCTCAGCAGTTCTATGTTTTCAATAAGTTTTCCTCATTATCCCATATTTTTTTTATAGCTCTAAACCAGTGGTTCGCAAACTTTTCAGCTTTTGACCCACAAAATAAAAGCAGCAGAGACCTGTGCCCCCAGCTGTTCTCTGTTGATAAACATCGTTTTCACGTCAAATAAACAAGCGCATAGTAACGTTATTTATTACATTATAATGTCCATTCTAAGTATGCTAATCTTATAATTTTGTAACAACAAAGGCAAAAAAAATTGTCATTTTTTTAGTGTAATTCTGAAAATATTTTCAGGACCCCACCTTGATGTTTCAGGACCCCACTGTGGGTCCCGACCCCAACTTTGGGAACCACTGCTCTAAACTGTAATTTGCTGATCTTTTTCTGCCGTTACTCCTGTTTCTACTCAAATCTCCATAACCCTGTTGCGTGATGGGAAAATGAGGCAGCTGTCGCATCAAATATAATAAATTGAGTGTCTCATCCAGTGAAAATCCCTGTCTTCCTGTCTGGTTGGTTATCTGAAAACATGTCCGTCTTCAACCCGTTTCTTTTCCTGCTTTTGTTCAGAAGGGTGTCCAGCATCTCTTCAGTCTCTGTCACCATCATTTCTCCATCAATGAGCTGCTTTTTTCTCTCTTCCATTGAAAAAAGGTGGTCAGGGACACAATGGTGAAGAGGAAAGCCTCAGGATCAGAGACCCTTCACACTTTAACACCCGCCTCAGCAGACCTGACTGGGTCTCACGTCATCAACGCCAACAGTGGAGGTGGGGGATCCAGAGCATCTGGAGGGAGTTTGTACCCCCTCCCCCACCCCCTTCTCATTTCTGAAGAATGACAGGTACCTATTGTTTTTGTTCTCTCAGTCCTCTATGACTCCTTTACGTGCTGGCTTAGGACAGGATGTGTTGGAATAAATTTTTTTCTGCATTTGTTTGGTATTTTCTGCTTTACTCCTTAACATGTTTTACACTGTTCATCCTGCACCGGGTTCTCCCAGTTCTCCCCTATGGTCTGATCTGGGGGGTGGGTGGGCGGATCTTCCCGTGAAGGTGCCCCTTGGGGCTCTGCGCTCGGGATCCCTCTCGGGCCCTTGGGCTCTGGTCTTCCCTATGTCTGCCTCGTGTCTTGTGGGTTGGGTCTCTCTCTGGTCCTCCACAGTAGGGCTGCCACAAACGATTATTTTAATAATCGATTAATCACCGATTATTTATTCGATTAGTCGACTAATCG